TTAGCTAGAGATCGTCACAGGAGAAGGGAAGATGTTCGAAGAATCGGATGATGAGTTTAGCTTAGAATTTAAGGAAGCTGAAAATTTGAGCCTTGTGGCTATCACTAAGTCTTTATTTTCTAGTTCTAAGGACGAAGATTCCAAAAATGATTCTTCTCTGGATGTACTCTCTTTTGAATTCAATAATATGAGCTCTATTTCCGATTATATGCCTTCTCTCGAATCTTTTGAATGCTATAACAATTAATCTAATGAAGATGATAATATTAATAAATTGGTTGAATTAATGAATGAACGAGAACAAAAGAACCCTATAATTGAAGAAACTGAAACAGTAAATATAGGAACTAATGAAAACAAAAGAGAAGTCACAATTTGCTTAACTTTAAATCTGAAAGAGCGATCGATTCTTATATCGACGCTCAAAGAGTTCAAAGACGTGTTCGCTTCGTCATACAAGGACATGCCTAGAATAGACAAGGAAATTGTGGAACATACCATTCCCTTGAACCCTACCTCTAAACCTATAAAACAAAAACTTTGACGAACGAAACCTGACGTCGCTTTGAAAATAAAAGAAGAAGTACAAAAGAAATTAGACGCAGGTTTCATTCGCGTATGTAATTACCCAGAATGGGTAGCGAACATCGTCCCAATCCCTAAAAAGGATGGACGAGTTCACATGTGTGTCGACTTTAGGGACCTTAACAAGGCTAGCCCTAAAGACGATTTTCCTCTACCTCATATTGATATACTAGAAGATAACATGTCTGAACATGCGATGTTATCCTTTATGGATGGATAAACAAGCTATAACCAAATCCAAATGGCAAAAGAAGATGAAGAAAAGACATTTTTTATCACCCCTTGGGGTACATATTGCTACACAATCATGCCATTTGGGCTAAAAACTGCAGGAACTACGTACCAAAGATCGGCTACGACTCTCTTGCATGATATGATGCATAAAGAAATAGAAGTTTATGTGGATGATATGATTGTAAAGTCCAAAGATAGAATGGGACACATAAAAGCTTTATGAAAATTTTTCACTGGCATAAAAGAATATAAAATGCGATTGAATCCACAAAAATGCGCCTTCGGAGTAACTTCTTGTAAGTTACAAGGATACGTAGTAAGCACACGTGGTATTGAGATCGATCCCTCTAAAATAAAGGCAATCGTTCATATGCCTCCCCCTCAAACTGAAAAAGAAATTAGGGGGTTTCTTTACAAACTACAATACATTAGTTGGTTTATCAACAAATTGACTATGACTTGTGAGAAAATATTCAAAAACTTAAAAAAAATAAGAAAAACATGAATGGGACGATCAAAGCCAAAGGGCCTTTGAGAAAATCAAAGATTATCTCAAAAGTCCATCAATTTTAGCACCACCAGTACCCAAACTACCTCTTAGGCTATACATCACGGTTACGGAAACGACCATAGGTTCCATGCTAGCACAAGAGGTAGACACAGTCGAGCATGCAAACCTAAAGGAAAAAACGCCATCTGTAACGGGCAAAAAGGGCCCATCCGTAACGGGCATCGTCCGTTACGTATACGGCCATTACGGATGGGCATTGTTATTCGTAACGGGCACTGTCCGTTAAGAATAATGAGTTATTCGTAACGGACATTTGAAATGTCCGTTACGAATAACCCATTATTCGTAACTAACATTTCAAATGTCCGTTACGAATAACCCGTTATTCGTAATGGACATATGAAATGTTAGTTACAAATAAGGGGTGGGTTATTCATAACTGTAGACACCCATTTGTGTCTCCCCAAAACCAAACCTTGTGATGAGTGCCTTTCACGTTGAATCATAATCGAATGAAACGAAAGTGTGGAAAGGTCTGGTGTTGCGGAAAGTTTTATTTCTTTTCTTTTCTCCCTGTTTTTGAAAACTTTATTTTAAGAAAACAGCCAATCTAGTTTGGTTGGTCCATGATATAGGTCCAATAGTGGTGTAGTTGGATGGGGTTTGCAAAGACCTTTCCAACGATATATTATAAGCCCAATTCCGATGAATATTGAGGAAATTATGGCCAATTTACTAAACTGGGCCCGGTTTGAGCTTTAAGTACGGCCCAATGATCTAGGGGAGGGCCTAATATGATTTATCATTCCTAATGTTATTAGGAATGGTTTTGGTCTTCTAGAACATTCTAGAAGGTCTTATCATTCTTAATTCAATTAGGATTCTTCAGAGTTTTAATCAAGATCAAATAGCATTTTCGACTGAAATTATATTATTTTATCTTCCAGTACGGGAATTTATCAGATTTTCGAAAACACGTTGAAATCCAATTTGGCGTCCAACCCCAGGCCTTGGCGCCTGGAATCAGGATTGGCGCCAGACGCCAGCCATTGGCGCCTGGCGCTATCCACTGGTCCTGGCGCCAATGAGACAGGGCTGGCGCCAAGGTGGTTTTGCGATCTTCAGACTCTGTTTTGATAAATTATCTTTTTTGGATGATTTTCTCTATAAATATCGTATCAAAAACTCCGTTTTCAATCATCATCGACATCTATCGTTCACCAATTCTCTTTATTCTTAAGTTTTCACTAATGATCAATATTCATTGACCAATAATCAACTCTCTCCATTCATCATCTATATCATTAATTCATTCTTCCATTAATCCTTTAGCATTCTTTCTTCCTTGCTTTTTAATACAAAATTCCGTATTCACAAGATCTAGAAACACCTAGCCATATTCGAAGTTGCCTTCGCCCTAGACGTGAAAGGTTTTAATTTCTGAGGGTTTGGTCCCAAATCTTTATTTCAATTATTTAATTTAATTGCTTTGATTATTATTTTCCTTGAAGTTACTAACGCGTGTATTTTGTAATTAGAAAGAGGTACGAGGCATCCAAGTAAGTACTTTAATGGTTTAATTGATTTATGATGTAGATATCATGCTTAGATTGTTATTATGATATTCCTAGCATCATGTCTAGGGTATTTTTAATATCAAGTATGATTAAAAGTATGATGCTTCCTATATTCTCCCTAACATTTACGATTATTATGATTATGATTGATATTATTATTATTAATGGTGTTGATTATTTATTATGTTGATTGATACATTATTTATTCTTTATTGCTTGATCACACCTTTTTATGCATGTTTAAAGGGAATTGGTATTTACAATCACGCTTAATAAGATACTTAATAATCTTGTTAGGTTAATTGTGATTATAAATTTAAGTGATCGCCAATAATAGTTTATTTGTGCATTAATATTCAACCAACATAGATTAAACAGGTTTAGGGTTAATCCTATTGATTGTATGTTAATCAAAAAGCGCACATGAATACGAGCAGAATAAAGTAGAGGTCTATTATTAGGGCAGGTTCAATCTCTTTTAGGTTGGATTTGTACCATCATCCCCGAACCCTTATTTGGTTCATGACCTTATGGAGTTGACGATCTCTTGGATCGTTAAGGGGTGTAACCTTCATCCTATGAACGGTTTACAAGTTCCTTAAAAACTTGTTGGCGTCTCTTTTGCTCTATCTTCTTCCCTTTTGGACGCCACCGTACTTTAGTGTATGATCACAGTGGGGTTCAAGCTAGTGGGATTTTAAAGGCTTGAAATTATTCCCTACAGTAACAGACATATGAAATGTTAGTTACGAATAAGGGGTTATTCGTAACGGACATTTGAAATGTCAGTTACGAATAAACGCTTTTTTGTATTAAAATAAGTCCTTATTCGTAACAGGCACCTAAAACGCCCGTTGCAAATAAGTGATTATTCGTAAGTGACATCTTAAATGTCCGTTATGAATAAAGTTTTATTGTCTATAATTTAACACTTATTTGTAACAGGCAACAAATATGCCCTTTACGAATAACTGGTTATTTGTAACTGACAATTCTGCTGCCCGTTACAAATAATTATTAAATTAAATTTTTATTTTATTTAATTTCAACAACATGTATTTATATATAATTAATATATATTTTAACCTGTTATAATAAACCTGTTCCTGTAAATAAGCAATTATACCGATCAATCTTTCGTAATAATTAATACGACGTAATATAAAAACCGAAGTAGTATCACATTACAAATAAAAACTTGTATAAATTTATCCAACATGTACAACAACACTAAAAATATTACTTTGTTCTACCTAAGCTAATAGTTATGCATTCAATAAATATTTACTTCTAAAGTATTGCGCCCACTGTTCTCGAACCACATTCACCTCGTCAACATCATACGGGCCTGTCCTTGTACAAATATCATATTAAAAAAACATATGAAAGAGGTTACAAAATAAAAACAATCCATAATAAAAACAATCATTAGAATAAATGTGCTGAACCAAATTATAGAAAAAAACTCATAATATAGAAATAACACACATAACATCCTTAATAGACTTATATTTTGATTTCTATGAGTTGAAATCAATGAAAAGTGAACATATAGAGCCAAAAAGGCTTTAAAATTGCGCTAAGGGACTTCTATCTTTCCCATCTTTCAAGTATTGGTTCAAATTAACACAATATCACACATAACATCCTTAATTACCTTACATTTTGTTTTTTATGAATTGAAACCAATGAAAAGTGACCATTATCTCACTCTTGGGAGGGTATAGAGCCAAAAACGCTTCAAAATTGCTTAAGGGACTTCTACTTTTCCCATATTTCATTTATTGGTTCAAATTAACACAATATAACACATAAAATCCTTAATTACCTTATATTTTGGTTCCTATGAATTGAAATCAATGAAAAGTGACCATTTACTCACTTTTAGTAGCGTATAGAGCCAAAAAGGCTTCAAAATTGCGTCAGGGACTTCTACCTTTCCCATATTTCATGTATTGGTTCAAATTAATACAATATAACACTAAAAATCCTTAATTACCTTATATTTTGGTTTTTATGAATTGAAATCAATGAAAATTTTACCATTATCTCACTCTTGGGAGCGTAAAGAGCCAAAAACGCTTCAAAATTGCCTAATGGACTTCTATCTTTCCCATCTTTAAAGTATTTGTTCAAATTAACACAATATAACACATAAAATCCTTAATTACCTTATATTTTGTTTTCTAAGAATTGAAATCAATGAAAAGTTACTATTATCTCACTTTTGGGAGCGTATAGAGCCAAAAAGGCTTCAAAATTGCCTAAGGGACTTCTACCTTTCCCATCTTTCATGTATTGGTTAAAATTAACACAATATAACACTAAAAATCCTTAATTACCTTATATTTTGGTTTTTAAGAAATGAAATCAATGAAAATTGACCATTATCTCACTCCAGGGAGCGTATAGAGCCAAAAACGCTTCAAAATTGCCTAAGGGACTTCTACCTTTTCCATCTTTCATTTATTGGTTCAAATTAACACAATATAACACATAACATCCCTAATTACCTTATATTTGGGTTTCTATGAATTTAAATGAATGAAAAGTGACCATTTACGTACTTTTAGGAGCGTATAGAGCCATAAAGGCTTCAAAATTGCCTAAGGGACTTCTACCTTTCCCATCTTTCATGTATTGGTTCAAATTAACACAATATAACACTAAAAATCCTTAATTACCTTATATTTTGGTTTTTTTGAATTGTAATCAATGAAAATTGACATTATGTTACTCTTCAGAGCGTATAGAGCCAAAAATGCTTCAAAGTTGCCTAAGGGACTTCTACCTTTCCCATCTTTCAAGTATTTGTTCAAATTAACACAATATAACACATAACATCCTTAATTACCTTATATATTGGTTTTAGGAATTGAAATCAATGAAAAGTGACCATTATCTCACTTTTGGGAGCGTATAGAGCCAAAAAGGCTTCAAAATTTGCAAAAAAAACTACTAACCTCCTCTAAGACACCTTTGCACTCCAAGTGAGAAGTAACAATCTCATACATGTATCTCATAATGTAGTAGCCACATTCAACTCCCCCTTGTTGAGAACACTAGTATATATGACAAATAGTTAAAAATTATGTTTTCAAAGTGAACAATGTATAACAATATGGGGTGAGTAGTGTATTTACCTCCATTTGTATGAATTTCAATTTTTGCCTATGTGATTTAAATTCACTCCCTGTGAGATTCGCCCGATATACTTTATAAGTCCTACAAAAATAATATATATTCTAACACTTAGAACAAAATAATCTACAAACCACATACATAAATGATATAGAAACTAGGGCATAATTTCAAGGTTGTGGCTCACGTCATCATAATTTCGGCAATTTTCAATTGTCGTGGTTTTTCTTTAGGTAGCTTCATAGAGTCAAACTCATAAGCTAAACCTAATTTTAGATCGACCACCACAAGAACCCAATGACCACTACGTTATTTAAGAGGAAAACACAAGTTAGAGTATTGGAAAATTGGTGATATCATTTATATGATTAAGTTTAGTGGTAGTATAAAAAAACATATTTCGAACCTTGCAACATATGGAGCCACGATGAATTTGCAACGTTTACCCGTCTTTCTTACTTCATGCAAAAATGTATTCTTCACATATGTATAAGTTTCAAGGTAATCATTCTGAATTGAAGATTCTAAAATGAGTTGAGGACAAAAGAATGTGATCTCAGTCCTGTTGAAAAGGTCGATGAAGTTGTCTACTAAATACCTACATGATAAAGTCATTGAAAACTAAAAATTCAGCATTATAGCAATAAAAATATTACTATAGTGAATATAAGAACCAAAGTAAAGGAAGATTAAGTAACCTACATGAAATAAACATGAATCAATGAAACATTAGCCCACGATCCTCTTAGAAATTCACGTACATCGGTAGCGGTTACCCAAATCTGTTTGTCGCTATCAAAATTAAACATTGAGGCCTTTAGAAGTACTGATGTTGTATCATACTTTGCATCATCATAATTCATTAACCAATACAACAACTCACACCCCTCGCCAAAAGTATCGACAATTTTATCTTCAAGTGGTAGGAATTTTGTGGGTTTGATGGTAGATTGCCTTGATTTCACACCACAACTATCGTCCCCTTCTGTGCCTTGGCAAGATCTATGCTTCTTTTTGGGCGATGGTGACACCTTTACAAATATATGAATATTAGTCTAGATTAAATATACAAAAATGATGGCACTTAATGTTAATAGTAGGAGACTATACCTCTTCTAAAAAAAAAACCATGTCTATAGGCCATATTACAAAGGAAGACTTGGCTTTTCCCAACTTAGTCACATTATCAGGAGACGGTACCGGTATATCGAGGAGGGCACAGTCAGGATAAGGGTTGTCCACAATAACCCTGTAATGATCAGGTAACATCTTCAGGTTGTGAGTAACTTCACCGGTAACAGGATATACCGTTCCATCTGCCACAACCACTAATTTTCATTGTACTCATCTTTCAATGCTAGGCGACATTTAGTGGCTACCTACATATTACAAAAAACTCGATCAATATTATACATGTTAACCTTGTAAAGTCATATCTTTAATATAGTTAATAAGACATATACCTCTATTACATGAGGGCTTTGTGTTGCCTCCATGTTCGTCATCTCTTGCATTCCTTGAAATGCCTCCACGTCACCGGTCATCTGTGGTAGTAAATTGGCGAGATAAGCTTTCAACTCCATTGCCACCCGTCGTCCCAATCTCTCTTCGATCCTCTCTTGAAGCTTCTCTTCAACCTTTTCTTCTAGCCTCCCCTCAAATTCTTGAGTTAGGGTAGCTTTCATTGATTCTAACTCTTCTAATGAGCATCCACCTTGGCCGGATGATTTACCCTTTCTGTATCCCTTCCCAAATACTTGTGTGTGACTAACTCAACCCCACACCTTCCTAGTGCTTTTACATGCCCGCGGTGATCCTTTTTTTCTAAAGCCTTGTCGAGGGCATCCATACCAATACCATCACTTGAATTGTTTCCTTCATCATTCTTTTGCAAGTTTTCCAACTATTAAAAAAAAACATATATAAGATATGGCAGAACAAGAACCTTAATTGAAAAAAAGTGATATGCATAAATAGACTTGTAGCCTACAACATATACAACATAGAACAATGATAGTAGTGAACATGATAACTGGCGAGGACTCGAGCAATAAACAGAAAAGGCCTGATCAGAACTGTTCGGAAGTGATCGGAACTGAAATTTCAGACCTGATCGGAACTGAAATTTTAGAACTGATCGGAATTGAAATTTCAAAATTGATCAGAACTAATCAAAACTGATTAGAACCGAAATTTTAGAACTGATCGGAACTGAAATGATTGGAAGTGATCGGAACTGAAATTTCAGAACTGATTGGAACTGAAATTTCAGAACTGATTGGAACTGATCATAACTGAAATTTCAGAACTGATCAGAACTAATCAAAACTGAAATTTTAGAACTAAACGAAACTGAAATTTCAGAACTGATCGGAACTGAAACTTCAAAACTGATCGGAACTGATCAGAACTGAAATTTCAGAACTGATCGGAACTGAAATTTCAGAACTGATCGGAAGTGAAATTTCAGAACTGATCGGACGTGATCGGAACTGAAATTTCAGAACTGATCGGAACTGAAATTTCAGAACTGATCGGAACTGATCAAAACTGAAATTTCAGAACTGATTGGAACTGAAATTTCAAAACTGTTCAAAACTGATCAAAAGTGAAATTTCAGAACTGATCGGAACTTTCTTGCAAAGGTCGAACACTGAAAGGTCCTTCCTTCTGAAGCCTTTCAGCAAGTTGTCCCCTAAGATGAAATCCCATAATTAGCAAATAACATATATCTTGAACATAGAAGCATCAAAATCAACAGAAACTATTAATTTTATAAACCCATTTTTTTTGCAAATTTCTGCCAAACTTATTCCAAGAATCGTGGTTGATCCACTTTACAGCTTTCTGTGAAGCTTCTTGGAATAGCAATATAGTAGTGAGACATTAGACATTAAATTATAGAGAATATTGGAAACAAATTACTAGACTAAAGCAAGAATTGAATAACTATTACATATTAATATGTTGTACAAGGTGATCATCAAATTGTATTCTAAATTGAAGGATTTTAGGAAGTTGTTTAGGTTCTATAGGGCACTTGAGCAGGGCCTTTGTCCAGGGATACACATCTCTGCAGATATTCTATTAACCCATGACTTGAAGAAATATGCCAGAAGGAGGATTATATTAATCTATGCAAAGATTAGCTATAGGAAAGTGTGTTATTTGTGAGCTGAGAAGCTACAATTTACCCTCTCACTGTCTCACATCAACAATTATTTTGTTTCCCTAATCAGATTAAAAAGTATTATACTTGGACTTTAATATGTAAAGGGTAAGAAGCTTTTGGCTATACTTGATAAAGCTACAATTGTATCCACCACTTATGTGCTTTGGTCTAAAATAAAACTGAAATTTCAGAACTGATCGGAACTGAAATGATAAGATTGCAAGTTTCTGTTCTTCCTACTTTTTCTTTCTCTCAGGATTCCTACAAGAGCTTTTCAACAACAGATGCCTTGACATAAATGTTTACTATGAGAATCCACAAGTCAGAAGTTCAGCATCACCCATTCACCCTTCCAGCTAAATGACATACTAAGTATTAACACCATCACAAATCCACAAGTCCTTGCCTTTTTCTGTATGCATGGTTAACAACAACTAAGCAAGCAACAACTAATCAGAACTGAAATTTCAGAACTGATCGGAACTGTTCAAAACTGAAATTTAAGAACTAATCAGAACTGATCGGAACGGATCAGAACTGATCGGAACGGATCAGATTTGTTCGGAACTGGTCAGAACTGTAATTTCTAAACTGATCGGAACGGATCAGAATTGATCGGAACTGATCAGAACAGATCGGAAAAGGCCTCAAATTTAGAAAATCCCATTAAACAATGCAGGAAGAAGAAAATGAGCAATAAACAACAAAGGCCTCCCATTAAACAACGCAGGAAATGAGCAATAAAAAGAAAAGGCCTGATCAAAACTGATCAGCTCAAAAGTATAAACAAGTAACTGAAAAAAAAAACTATACTTGGTTACTTAGAACAACACTTACAATAGTATTGGCTATTTGCTGGGTTTCGGCATTCTTCGGGTCTATAGCCCACGATCCATCTGCATTACGAGTTTAACGGGCCAAAATCCAATAAAGAGACCGATTTTTAAGTTTGTCACTCATTACACAGCTTGTCGCGGACTCTGTGGTGCTCGAGGTTGAAGATTCTGCTGGAATTCTATTGGTATTACTCTAATCAACTCGAGCCCTCTCATAACTCTTGGAGCCTAGATGGTGGAGATGGTTATTATTCTTTGCATTTTCCTTGCCTTTTTCACTCAGAGCCTATTACAAAATGAAAAGCTATTGTAAGTAGTATTGTAGTTGAAATAAAATATGTGAAAAATACTTTCATAATATCTTACACACCTTAAATTCATCTGTATTGCAATATGTCTCAAACTCTTTCCATTACTCTTCTGTGATGTATCCTTCATGAAGCTCCCAGGGCTTAATGTTTGCACTTGGTGAGTCAGGCGGAGGTGCAGTTTCCTTAGTTATGAATCGTGAAACTAACCAAGACTTGTTCTTCATAAATCTAGCACCAACAGCTTCGTGGAACTTCTTCTCTTTACTACCCTTAGGATCATCAATGTGGAACTTCCGCTACAAAATTAGAGAATGTTAATATTCATAATTAATTATAAGTATCATTAAATTTAGAGCAATAAACCATATTTATATCTTAATTACCTTACTCTTCTCCCACAAGTTTTGCTTTTGAACTTTATCATACTTCGGATATCCCTTCACTTTAATGTTAACTCTTTGAGCACAATTAACAATTTGCTTCCCATAAGCAGATTCCCACTTTCCAATAGGCATGTCAAACTTATCAAATTCGAGGAACATAGGTGTAGTTGTTTGGACTGCTCTAGACGGGCCTCATCCCTTTTTTGTAGAAGAATTTACTTGGGAAGTGGAGGCATCCATGTCACCAGATTGTTCCTGTCCATCATGATCATCTATGTTTTCTTCCATTGTAGTATGCCTCTACACAAAGAATGAAATTAACAAGAATAGAATCAAAATCATAACAATAAAATCATATTAATGTAAATACTATACAATAAAGAAATTAATGATTTAGATATATACCAATTTAATAAATTCAGTATTATTTGCAACAAAAATACTATTGTTAAAGGAATACAATAACACAAACCTTGGTTGTAGTTATAGGAACCACTAACCCTTCATCACGATCATACTCTACATCATCAACAATATCTTCCCCTTATTGTAGAGGTTGCACTCCCATTGTTATAGGCGGGATGTCATCAAATTGGTCATACTCTACTTCATCCACAACATCTTCCACACCCACAATTTTTCACTTGCCTTCAACTACAACATGCCATTGCGGATCTATATTATCCTTGATGTAGAATACTTGTTTCGATTGTGAGGCTAATACAAAAGGCTCTTCACCATCAGTGTAATGACTAGAGTCAACCAAGGTGAATCCAAATAACTCATTGGTTTTCATACCACGACGGTTATCAGCCCATGTGCAACGAAATAAAGGACTTGTGAAATCAACATAATCCAACTCCCAGATTTCTTGAATGACACCGTAATATGCCTGTATAGCTTCAACTGGCCTTGTATCCCTAGAACTTGAGTATTCAGTAGAAGATGCAACCACGACAACACCACTATTTTGTTGCACACTTTTTTCATCTTAACGACAAGTGGCAAAAGTAAATCCATTGATATCGTAACCCTCATAAGTATACACAAGTGGTTGTGGACCTCGTGAAAGCCACTTGGTCGTTTCAGAAACATTCTCATCTCTACTCAATTCAAGCTTCAGTTAGCCTTCAAACTACTCAACATAGTGGCGATTATGCTCCTGCATCAACGCATAGGAGCTGATCCTGGGATTGTGAATTTTCAACTCATGAAGATGTTTTTCAATATATGGATGAACTGCAGATAGGTTTTGTAGCACAAATCGGTGGGCTTTCTTATATCGATCAAGTGGAGGTTTAACCAATTTCCGACCTACTTTACCCTTTCCTTGAAGTCTTCCCTCGTGACGAGAAGTCGGAATCCCAATTTCTTTAACCTTAGCTAAAAACACTGAACAATATTTCCCTGCTTTTTCTGATATGAACCCTTTCACGATGCTCCCTTCAGGATTTGCTCTGTTCTTTGCCTTATCTGCTAAAGTACCCATTTGCCTCTCATAAGGGTACATCCAACGCATAAATACAGGACCACACTCCTTTATCTCACGAGGAAAGTGCATAACAAGGTGAGTCATTATGTCAAAAAAGGAAGGAGGAAAATGCATCTCGAATTTGCATAATGTTTCAACAATATCATATTCCATATCGTCAAGTGTTTTTGGATCTATCACCTAACTAAAAATTGCATTGAAAAACAAGCAAATCTTCACAATAGCATGCCTAACATATTTTGGCAAAAGGCATCAGAGTGAAATTAGCATGAACACTTGCATCATCACATGACAATCATGGGACTTCATACCAACAACTTTCTTATCAGTAGTAGAAACAAAACGCCTTATGTTCGACGAATACCCTGTCGGCACCTTGATTCCTTTCAAACACTCACAAAAGATCCTTTTTTCTTCTCTAGACAATATATAACACGCATGGGGCAAAAATGCTTTTTTCGTTGCTTCATCCTCAGGCCATAACTTAGGTCGAATTTTGGCTTCCTTCATGTCTCTAAGCACATTATCACCATCCTTTATCTTCCCTTTGATATTCAACAAAGTCCCAATTAGTGCCTCATAAACATTTTTTTCCAATGTGCATAACATCAAGACGATGTCGAACCGACAAGTGCTTCCAAAAAGGCAGATCCCACAACTTAGACACTTTTTTCCACAACACACCCTTCTTCGGTTTCTCTCTGTGCATCTTACCAAAGATTGTCTTAAAATTTTTACTTTTCTCATACACTTCAATTCCTGTCAATGGCTCACGACTCACTCCCTTCTCAACATGCCCGTTGAATTGTTGTCTCATCTTCCTCTATGGGTGATTTCGACGAAGTAATCGTCTGGTATGCATGTAGACATTCTTCCCCCAATGCTTCAAGCGTGTAATTTGCATGTCATCCTCACAAATAGGGCATGGTTTTTGTCCTCTAACTTTGTACCCTGACAAATTTCCATATGCAGGAAAGTCATTTATAGTAAAAAAAACCATGGCTCTTAATCTAAAATTTTTACCCGAAAGAGCATCAAATGTCACAACACCTTCATCCCACATAGGGCTGTCAAACGGGTCATGTCGTGTCGGGTTCGTGTTCGTTTCGATGTTAAACGGGTTGAAATACCCTTGACCCAAACCTAACCCATTTATTAAACTGGTTGAAAACCCTTGACCCAAACCTAACCCGCTTATTAAACGGGTTACTCGTGTAACCTTTTACTAATATAGTATGTAAAAAACTATAATATTCAATATAAAAATTAAAAAGACATACATCATTAATTCATTAATGATAATACAAGAGTTTAAAGTTAGTAATTATAGCAAAAGTACTACAAGAATTTAAAGTTGGTTGCTTTAGCAGCACAACCATACATAAGAATTGTCCTAAATTAACAATCAATTTTTAATTTACAAAAGTTGAAATTTATTTTATCCACCAAATTAACTGCCAATAAATACCTAATTGTATACATGGTGCCAAGGCAATTTACAAAATTACAAGTTTAGAAAAAAAAAATCGGTTTTTGTTACTACTTTATTAATAGTTTAAGCGTGTCGGGTTCGAGTTAGCGGGTTGTCGATCAACCCATTTATATAATTGGGTTGTGCGTGTCGGTTTCGGGTTGAAAATTTCCACCCAAACCTAACTCGTTTAATTTTGTGTCGGATCCGTGTCAACCCAATTATGTAAACGGGTCGAGAATAATTGACCCAAACCCGCTTATTTCGTGTCGGGTTTTCGTGTCGTGTCAGCTTTTGACAGCCCTAATCCCACAACAGTTTCAATTCTTCAATAAGGGTATCCAAATAAACATCTATCTCATGGCCAGGTTGTTTAGGACCTGGGATTAGAAGTGATAACATAATGTACTTGCGCTTCATACACAACCAAGGAGGTAGGTTGTATATTGACAGAAGAACATGCCATGTACTATGTTGACTACTAAGAGTGCTAAATGGATTCATCCCATCCTTACTTAATGCCAGTCTTATGTTCCTCAGCTCCTTCCCGAATTCTGAAAATGTCTTGTCAATGTCTTTCCATTGCAACGAATCAGCTGGGTTTCTGATCAACCCATCCTTCCTCCTCTCATTTTCATGCCAAACCAACTTCTTTGCTTAATCTTTAATTGAGAACAGGCGCTTCAACCTTGGTATTATAGGTAGATACCATACTACCTTAGTTGGTGGCCACTTCAAGGGATCCTTATTTAATCCCTCTCACTTGTATCGTGACACACCACACTTTGGGCAAGCATCTTATTTTGCATTCTCCTTTCGATATGGCACACAATCATTAGGACATGCATGGATCTTGGTGTACTCTAAACCCAATGGACACATCAACTTCTTCGCATAGTAAGTCGACTTAGGAATGTCATTTCCTTGTGGAAACATATCAGAGAGGGTTTCTAACAACAAAGTGAAACTAGTGTTGGTCCACCCGCTCTTTGCTTTCAAGTTATATAAATTTAAAATCCCAGAAAGCTTGGAATACTTAGAACAACCAGGATACAATGGTGTCTCTGCTGCTTTCGACACATTCTCATATATATGAGAATCTTCATTAACATGATCGCCTAACCCGTCTATCATCTCTTCTATCCTGTCTTCCTCCATGTCATCATTAAAACCCACTTCATTATCATCAAAACCATTCGGCTCTCGCTCATTAGCTTCATTGTCGTTAATAGAAGAATTATCTGCAGGAGGAAATTTTTCACCATGCCAATACCAAATATTGTAGTCTGGCATAAGCCCACGAATAATCCAATGGTCCTCTATTTTCTTAATGTCTTCCCACCTCTTCACATTGTTACAATCACGACAAGGGAAGAAAATAGGTCTTGCTTTGGTTAGCCTTTGTTTAACGAGTGTACTCCATTGGTGTTGCACTGCGATTCTACAGAACTCGTTGACCCCGGCTAAGTATTCTGGTGTGGTTCCAGAACCATTATACATCCAACGACGGTCCATTTCTAAAAATGTATGATTAAAAGCCAAGAAACAAATTATATTCAACATCACATATCAACACATTCCAAATGCATGGTTCCAAAGGTCCTTATCGCTCCAACCTAACCCATCCTTGGAAGTGTATTCTCACTAGCAAATGGTTGACCATTTTTCGGCCCTAAGGAAATTTCGGCAGCATTTCCTTATGGTTCTCAGAGTACACGATGTAATTAATCTCTTAATTACATATGTACCCCGAGAACACATTAGGGAATGCTAACACAAAATTACCTTTACTTTCGAAAAACAAGCAACCATTTACATCCTAAGTGAAAATACAATTCCAAGAACAGTTCCAAATGGGGACTATTCAAGATTTACTCCTAATGAGTAAATCTTGAACGGGTATCTAGGCATATGAAGATATAATGCATAATAAATATTCACACATTCAAGATCAATCATGTCAAATAAAAGTAACCAAACACATAAACATGAGTTATTTACCTATCAAAGAAAATTTGATATTTGATGCAAATAAATTATGCACATACAATAAAATAGACCAACTAATGAAACTATACATAAAGTATCTATATAAAGTACAAGATACTTCAAAATTTCCAAATGCGAGAAAAATATTCACCTCTACCTCTAATTCTTAGGAATTCGTCACATATATAACATTTCTTATCCTCTTACATAGTAACACCAATTCTTCATTTAACACACCCAATTAACATACTAATTATTCATCATCACTTGGATTCAAAATTTCTACGCTAATCACATTATCTAATACACAATCAATCTTAGTTTCATTTCAGGTTCAGCTAAACAAATAATCGTTAAAAGTTTAAGACAAAACAATTTCTATCAACAAAATACACTACACCACATCATAAATGCCAAAAATTAAGACTAAAATCAGACCTTGCCTTGCTGATAAAGGCGCCGGAGCTTGTCCTGACCTCACTAAACTGGCTATCCAAGACTCATTACTGCCACACGGTTCCTGCAGACAATACAGAAACTGTTGAAGCATAAAGGTTTTGATGATGAGGAACTTAAACTAAAGCAAACTCAACTAATAAAGGTTTTCAAGTGTTTGATCAGTTTAGGTGAAGTTGATCGTGGTGATGGAAGAAGTAGCTGGAACTAAGAAGACATGAAAATATATTTATTGAAGGAGTTAAACAAATTAGAAGAAGAGTTCTCTAACAAGAACTGAGTTCCCTAACAGGAACGTTCCCTAACATCAAGCTTAAGTTCTTTGCTGGAACTTAATAATCTTGGAGCCCAAGTAACCTACCTGAACAAAATCGCGGTGCAACAATTATATTTAGTTAAGGTTTTTATCTTCTAGATTATTGTTAATATGATAAGTAGGTTATTGCACAAAATTTATTAGAAGCGTGACAAGTTGGGTTGGTAAATAAAATAATATGGAAAATATAAAAGATAGATTTTAAGAAAATATTTTCTAAAAAGATTATTTTCTTTAAATCAGTTTGTTAAAAAGATAAATCTTTTTAACAAATATCTTTTTAATTTTATTTTCCGAAAAAGATTTTATTCCACTTGATTTACATAAAACCGTGTTGAAGGATAAGTTAAGTTAACTTATTTATCTTTTAGAAAACCTACTTTCTATACGAGTAATACTTGTATAAATAGTAGAGAACAAAATGATTTTAGGTTTTTGTGAGTTTATGCATGGAGAAATCACTGTGCTATAATTGTGTAAGTTTACCAAGCTTCTAACTTGTCATATTAGTTTCGGATTTCGTGCATTGCCTGAAGGAGTTATGTCTTCGATAAGTGCAATTACTATATATATCAAGGATCACTATTATGGAGATAATAAGTTCATTCTATAGGGTCGTCAATGTTTGGTGCTAGATATGAAAATTGATCTTTGGGCTAGCTTAATAGCCTAAAGCCTTATAGAATGGATCCTACAAGGTCACACATAAGAGTATTGGGTTAAACAAGTTAGAGGCCCATTATTGGGCCACATGAGTTCATGACATACCATGTTGATGATTGGGCTTGGATAGTTAGAAGAGTCTAATGGGTTTTGGACTTGACATGGTTTTATTTCTAGATATGATCTATAAATATAAACCATGCCTAGGGTTGCATGATAGAACAATTGATACACAGTAAATTGTTAGACAAGCAACCAAGCATCCCAAAACCCTAACTCTCTCTCTCTCTACTTGGCCCTCTCTCTCTCTCCTCCCTGTCCATACGACTCTCCCTTTTGGGCGGCACGTGTGGTGGCGGGTGGGTGGTGCTGTGGTGTGTTCGTGGCTCGGATCTCCGTTGAAGGTTGATTGAAGTGTTCAGTCACAACTAACTAGCATTAGTGGAGGTTTAATCCGTGCTCGTTGACTAAGTAGAGGAATCACACGTGGGGTTATTGTTCTCCTTATTGTTCTTGCTCAATCACTTGTGGAATCACGCTTCAAAGGTATTATTCTTACTCTTTATGTGTTAAGCATGAGATCCTTGGTTAGGTGCTATATGAATATGATTCATGATTATTTCCGCTGCGTAGTACCTATAATCCCCTACAGTGGTATCAGTTAGCCCCTTGCAATTACATATATTGAGTATTAAACCTTTGTTAATCAACAATTTTAATTCAATTAGGAGGAGAATAATTTAATTATGGGTCAATTATTATATTAAATGTGATCTAACAATATAGAATCATTAAATTTGTTTAATTTGCTCCATATTAGCCCTAAATTGATCCGAAAATAGCCCTATAATACTCGAAAAATTCGAACCCCCCCCCCCCCCTTAATATTTTTGAAATTTTCGAAATCATTAACCCTAATTTA